TTTTTTTTTTGGCAAAGGTTTTTTTGCCGCGGCGGTTAAAGCCCGCCGGGGGGTTACCGGCAAAACGTTTGCGGGAATTTTAAAAGGTTGCAAGCGCAAAAGGGCCCGATAAACCCGCAATATTTAAAAGGCTTACCGAAAGGTTACCGGCAAAGCAATTATTAAAAATTTAAAGGATTAAAAATTCCGGTAAAACCAAATCCAAATTTAATTAAACTACGATAGCTAGGAAAAATACCGAAAGGTTGCTAAAAAAGGCTAACGAGCTAGTTAAAACCGAAAAACCCAAAGCGGATACCCAAAAAAACATTATTTTTTTTACGTAATTGGGTACGAAAAATAACATTTGCAATTACCGGTTAGGTTTAAATATCCAAAAAAAACGGCCAAATACTAATTACTTACGGTTACAATCGTTAAAATTGTTGGAATGGTTATTAAATGCACAAAAAGGAAAAAAAAGGGTTCGTAGCTTTAAACGAAAGGAAAAGCCTTTTATATGCCGGTACGAACCCATTTTTCCGAATGCTACAAAACCTTACAACCGGTTTCCTTAAACGTTGCCGGGCATTGGGGCGGCTTAGCGGGATATTGTAAGCTACCGGCTATTTACGGGGTCGTACGCGCGGTACAAACGGTTTGGAATAAGCCGTATCGAAAAAGGGCAATATATTAAAAGTACGGGCAAAACCGCCCGGTAAAAAGCAAAAAGCGTTAAATGCACGGGCGAAACCGTTCGGCAAAAAAGGAAAAAGGGGGCGCTAGCAATTAGCCGGGCACGGACCCCCCAAAAACATGCCGGCAAATTACCGGTATTGCGGTTAAAGCATAATAACGAAGCTAAAAAATAGGGTAAAGCTTAAATTGTACGAAAGCGCTTGGAGCGCAAAGGATTTAAAGGACCGACCCCGGGTGCCCGAAAGGAACAAAAAAAGGGGAAGTTAAAAAAAAAACAATCTTTGTTAGCGATAGCACCTTTAGTAAAAGATTTACGGAGGTTTAATAAAGGAAACACCGCATCCGGCCCGTAGCCCGGTAACCACCCGCTTTTGCACCGATTAACCCTTAACACGGGGTTGGATATTTGGTAAATTACCAAACCTTTAACATTTACCGGATTTAAATCCCGTTAAAAAAAAAGTAATAATTACAAAAAACGTTAAATTTAATAAAAGAAGCTTTTTTAAAAGCAAATAAAAAAAGGACCCGATTAACGTGGTTATTTACAATTTGTTAATTAAATACAACGAAACGGAAAACCCGTTTGCAACCCGAAAAGGAATTGCTAATGCGCTAAGGCTTTTTTAATTGGAAAAGCTTTAAGCATTTACTTTCGTTACTAAGCATTAAAGTTAAAAATTAAGGGTGGAAAAGCTAGGTTTTGTTATAACTATAAAGGCTAAAGCCGCAAAGGATTTAGCTAACGGGCCGGATCCAAACGCGCATAAATTTTTAATTTTAAATGCTTTAAAAAATGGCCATAAAATAAAGCAAATGCGTAATACGGGCTTTTTACGTATGGGCAATTCGTATTACGGCTTTATACGGCCCGGGAAAAGCGATAGCTTCCCACCGGTAAGGGGTAAAAGTAACGACGAGCCCGAAAAACGACCCCTAAAATTATTAAAGCTTGCTTTACTTTACAAAGCAATAAACCGGTCCTTGCTTACCCCAAAACCGGATATACCAGTTGCGACTACAAGCGGTACCCTTAAAGCGCCCCCAATCGCGATACCAAAAGCGTTTAAAGCTTTTAAAAATTTGTTCGAAACAAACCCAAACGAGCAAAAAGCGCCGCCTTCCTTTTTTCCTCCGGTTAAAAAGGGCAAAGGCCGATTTTGTAAAGGGACGGGCCTTTCGCTTTCGTTTAAAGCCTTTTTTTTTAATGCGCTTTTACCGAATTTGCCGATAATTACGTTTAAAGTAATTCGCGTTGCAACGCGTACGGCCGC